AAAAAAAAAAAAAAAAAAAAAAAAAAAAAAAAAAAAGAAAAAAAAAAAAGAAAAATTACATTTCTGAGCCAGAAAAAAATGGGTGTCACAAACCTCCTCCTCAGAACAGTGTAAAACAGGTGTAAAGCAACAGTCAGAATGGCACTGGTATAAAAGCAGCAAAGAGTGCACTGGGATGGTTTTTGGGGAGGTGGCTCTCCATCCGGAGGATGCCCAGCCCTGCTCTGCTGCAGCTCCCTGCCCGCAGGAGATCTGCACTAATTGGTCTCTGCCCCTGGGGCCTTGCCCGGGAGGAGCAGCGAGTGCTGCACACACAGAATAAATCCCATTTCCACCCCTCCTCGGGCTCACGGGGCTGGGAAGGCTCTGCCACACTGAAATGAGGAATTCCCAGCTCCCCAGCGGCAGGGAAGGCGTTTGTGCATGTGCCTTTCCACCCCAAAACACGGCTTTCCTTTGTACCCAGAAAAAAAAGCCAACTAATATCCTCCTTCCAATTAAGCTGAGATATGAACTGCACTTTGAAAGTTCTTAATCCATTCTCTGGTTCATTAACTCAGAAAATTTCATCCCCATGGTTAGCCCTATCAGAGAGGATGGAATGCCTGGCACCAATTAGTTCTAATAACGAGCTAAGTTGTGCACAGATTTCGGAGCCTGTCGTTAGTATGAGAAAATAGGACAGCTCCTCTCAAAACAGGAAATCTTACTGGACGTTCCTTTAATTTGTCTTTGGCTGACGACTCCTCCCGCAGACAAAGGAGCTAATTGATTTGATGAGTTACAGACGCCTGCTGCGTGGCACCTCCCCTGCTGCCCAGCAAGGAGCTGCAGCCAAAATAAAATGACAATACTGCTCTGAGATTCTGCTCTCCTGCTTGTTCACAGTCCGTGCTCTAAGGAGGCAAACACACATGCTCTGTTAGTGCCCTCAGCTTCTTTGGATGCTGCTTTTCTCCCAGGGATTCAGCTGGGTTATAAAATGTTATAATATGAAATTATGTAAATTTTAATTTTATAATATATTAAAAATATATCATATATTTAAATATATTAATATATAATATATCTATATTATATATATTTCATATATTTAATCGTTATTATAATATTTATAAATATATAACATTTATAAAATACATAATGTTTTAATTTAATAATATAAATTAAGTAAAATGTAATAATATAAAATGTCTTAGAGACTGTGGGTGCCTCCCAGGTCAGGATCCTCCCTTGTGGAGGGAGGGAGGGAGGGAGGGAGAAGCTCTGGGGAATCTGAGGACAAACAGGAGCCTCATTCTGCAGTGCCAGCAGGCAGCTGGGGGCTCTTTCCAGCTCTGCTCTTTCAAGGCCCACTGAAAATAATATCAAAAGAAACAGAGGCAGATGATAGCAGATACAAGATATGTGTCTTCTTATGTTACAGACTCTTGAAGGAAAGGGTAAGATTAGTGGTCACCTCTAAAGAGATGGACATTAAATAACTGGCTCCTAAACCTGCCACAGCCTGTAACTCTTGTCATTTTATACAGCATTTTTGGCATAAACAGCCATTAAATAACCCAAGGAACCAAAGGAAGGATTTCTCTGTGTCTTCCTCACTTCTTTCCTGAAAAAATAAACGTGTCAGTTGTGCTGTTACTGCTTGAGCTAAACCAGAAGTATTCCTTTGCCATGAAGAGCGAGACACACCGTGAAAATTAAACCGTAACTTATTTCCTCAGGGATGTTTGCATGCTGCCAGCACGGCACAAAATCCTGCCTCTTTCTGCAGCCCAGGAGAGCACCGAGACCTCTCCACAGTGGGGAGGAAAGAGGGAGAAGGGAGGGAGGAGGGCAGCCCAGCCCTGCTTCCCCAGGGAGCCGGGGCAGGCAGCAGCGTGACTCCTGCGTGAAACCTGACGTGAGCAGCAGGATCCCATTTCCCAGAGTCACGGGATCACAGCCCCACAGCATGGCCAGGCTGTACGTCAGAGGGGAGCACGCTTGCACACTGAGCTTTCTCCAGGAGGACTGCCTGCAGGTGGGCCCAGGTGAGAATCCCAATCTCAAGGTGACCTGGTGTCAGGTTCATTGGGAGGCATCACTTTTCACACACCTCCTTCACCTTGGAGGAGTCCCCAAGCCTGGAAACGTGGCAGCTTGGCGGCTGGCAAGCTGTGCAAGTGTCTGTCATTGCCAGGGAAAATATAAATTATGGCAGTCGCTTTAGCATTTCAATTTCGTAGGTGCTGGCAAACACTCCCCAGCATGAGCTGCTGCATGCAAGTGATGACCTTTAGGAATGCTGGCATCTCCCAGTGCTGAAGGAGCAGGAGCATGAATCAGCAGAAGGGAGCAGAGAAAAAAAAAGGTAGTTAAAAAGGAGCCTGCTGTTAGCAGTAAGTTAAATAAAATTCTCCTGGTCCTGCAGTCAGATTTATTAGCAGTGACCTTGGCACTTGCAGAGCCCCCTGCACAAAAGCCAGGCCCACGCTTGCAGATTTAGTGCACAGTCAGGGCCTTGGCCAGCCCAGTCACCGCATTTCACCCTTTCTGTAATTTAGATTTTAAACCTACAAGGAAACAAGCCCATCCTTCCAGCCTAAGCACAAACAGCCTCCAAGCGAGGCTCTGAAAGGCAGGCACAGAGCCCCGGGCTCCAGCTCTGCACAGACACCTGCATGAGCAGATTCCCAGGCAGCAGCACCTCGGCAGGGCCACAGCAGGGACTCCTTGGTCAGACTGAGCCACGAGCTGCCCACCCAGGACCATGCCCTTGGTGCCCGGCCAGGGGAGGCATTTCTGCAGCCTCTGCTTTGAGGCAGAGCTCCCTCCCAGCTGCCAGGCAATATCCAAAGAGTGCTGCAGCCCCTCTCCCCACAAACCCCAGTGCCCACAGTCCGGGCTGCCCTGTGTGCTTCAGTCCCACCAAGTGTTTTGCAGCTCATGCCCATCAGCCACGGCCCCTGGCACACCCTGGGCACCACCTGGGCTGTGGAGCAGCTCTGAACCCAGCAGCACAGCCCTGAGCCTGTCTGTGCAATTCTGTTTATTCCAGTCAGGATTCTGTGAGACGCTGCCACATCAGCAGGACCAGCCTGAGGCACAGCACCG